ACGCAGAGAAATACCGAGGGTTTCGCACCTTCTCTTTTTCTCTTCGGTCGTGGGACTACACAAGTCCGGGAGGATTGAGTTGTGTGAATAAGTGCGAGTGACGCCTAAGGGATCGCTAGTACGGTTGTCAACTGGACGTTTTCATTAACGTACGTTACAACAATTCACCACCCACTGTATACTCAATGCCTCCGGAGCTCAACGAATACCTCTAATGTAACGAAACAACAACACATAAACTAATTAAAGCAAAGTGATAAGAAAACGTCGGGTTTTCCTAGGGTTTTCAACTAATACACTTACGAATTACATGCCGAATTTTACAACTCGTACGCTTACATCTATAGAAAACAAACAAGCATACTCACGGATCTTCACATTTTTTTACGCTATACTATTTTCAGAAAATATCGGATTTTCTGGTAGTTTTCGAAACAATACAAACATTGGATTTCAAACATTACTTATGAACTCACCAACATTTCATATGTTGATGTTTTTCAAAATACTTGTATTCTCAGGTAACAGATAAAACGAAGGGATAAGTGTACTCAGTGATGTTTTGCTGCTTGTTTAATTAGCACCGAACAATCTACTTTTTGGGCATGTAATGTTAGGGAACAATGTACTAAATGTAAACGCTACCAGTTGTATTATTCCAATGCTTGGTGATGTATGATGTTATGTTTCATGTATATTCGTTGTGATGGTATTCAATTGAGTCACAACAGCCCCCGGACGTTTCCGCCGTCTGGTTCGGGGGTGTGACAGATCTTTGGTACGGTCAATGAGGGCATTCTGGAGATTTTGGATGAGATCTTGAGTGCTTTTCAGTCAGATATGGGAGCTCGCACATTGACTTTTAGGGAGTTCCGGACATACGGGGCTCTGGAGTACTTTGGGGAGAAGGACCCGATCACGAGCAGAAATTGGTTAGTAGATGTCGTTAATGCATTGCACACCAACATTTGTCCCGATGGGGCAAATGTCAGACTTGCTTCCTTTCTTATGAACGACAGAGATCGAGATTGTTAGGAGGAGGTTGGACATGCTATAGGGGACGAGGCGGTTGGTTCGATGTCATGGGATGAATTTGTGACGAGATTTCGAGATGAGTTTGCTCCAGTGATAAAGGTGCATCAATTTATGAGGGAGTTTCAGGACCTTTGCCAGACTATTGAGTTGATTGCTGATATCACTGCCATGTTCCGCGAGAGGGCGTTGTTGGTTACAAAGTATGTGCCGGATAAGGATATGAAGAAGGCGAGATACCATGAGATGTTGAGGAGTGATATCCACCAGTTTATGAGCCGATCCAGTTGCAGGAAACTGGAGGATATGATTACGAGATGCAAAGAGAAGGAGATTGATTTAGAGATGGAGAGGAAGAGGATGTCAGATCAGGCTCAGGGTTTAGGGAGCTTAGGCAAGAGTCCTAAGGTATTTGATTCGAGATCGAGAGGCTAGCAGGGCTAGAGCCACTGTGGCAAGTGTGACAAGGTGCATGAAGGGGCATTCATGGTAAGTGGTTCTTGCTGCTTTAAGTGCGGTCGGACGGGTCATATTAGCAGGGATTATAATGCTACCACCACCACCACCTATAATCTGACCTTATTTTCTTCTATTGCAATTAGAGAGGCTATAAGAAGGTCAATTTCCTGAGCTTAGCAGTGGGAGTACCAGTTGCAGCACTCGCTCCAGTGACTCTACGGATTATTGATGGCCACCAGGGCAAGGTGAATGCACCTATGGTGAGGAGCAAGGCTTTTCAGCTGACAGCCAAGGAGGATCGCACAGCACCTGATGTGGTGACAGGTATGCATCTTCTTCTTATATCTTTATTTATGTTGATTTATCTTCTTATATTTGTGTGTTTTGCTTTTAGGATCGTTCCTTGTGAACGCTATCTCTGCCTTGGTATTGTTTGATACAGGGGCTACCTAATATTTTGTATCTCTTGTGCTTAGCAAGAGGTTTGTTAGAGCTCTAGGGGAGATGGATTGTCCATTAGAGGTTGAAATTGCAGATGATCGATCTATCTGAGTATCGAGGGTTCATCGGGATTATGTTCTAAAGATGTTTAGTGAGCAGTATCCGATTGATTTGGTTTTTATTCCTTTGCATGGGAACAAGGTTATTGTAGGGATGGACTAACTGAGCCCCAGTGGGGCAGTGATAGATTGCAATCATCAGATGATATGCATTTGGATCCCAAGTGGGGGAGAATTAGTGGTTCAGGGAGAGAGAGCTCAACATGGTCTGGTTCTATGTTCAACAACTAGGGCAAGACGTTATTTTCATTAGGGTTGTTCCAGATATTTCGCCTATGTTATGGATACCTGGGAGAAGCTTAAGTGGTGAGTATTTGAGATACTGAAACTGATTTGGCATATTTGGTTATTTAGGGAAGCCTTTTTAGGGTTAATCATTTATGATTCCTACGGTGTCTTTATAGTATAAGTTCTTAATCGAGCTCTTCTAAGGCATTAGTTTTATATTAAGGCATATATTTTATATTTATGGTATATATTTATTGTTCCCTATAAATAATCATTAGGTTAGATTTTGAAAAAAGCTTTTTAGTAGATCAGGGTTTTCTCTTAACGTTCATATCATAATCAATATACACAAAAACCCTTATCAGATTACTTGCATATGATGCTGATTGATTCTTGATTGTTTTTGATATTTCGCATTCGTCATCTCGAATTTATTCCCAACAAGTGGTATCAGAGCGGGTTCTTGTAGATCTCATTGATTTTTTCAAGAATCGATATTGTTTATGGCGATTTTTTTTTATCATGAATCTCACCTTGTTCTTCAAGTTTTGTAAGTTTTCTAAAAAGAAAAAGTCTAATACCTCATTTTGTTGCAAAATCTTGTTCAGATCTACTATTTTCTACTCATTATTTCATCTGATTTGTTCTTGAATCGTGTTCTGGAAAAGAGTTAGAAGAAAATTTTCATGTTTATTCGAATTTTTGTGTTCAGGTCTACTTTCTCTCTCTAAAACCCATCTCTGATTCGTTTTCTCTCTCTAGAATATTTAACAGATCTACTTTCTCTTTCTTCAAGTTTTGTCATTTTTTTAAGATCTAATGGATCTTTTATTATTTAACTCCATTTTAGAACTTAGATTAAAGGTTACCAAACCAATCTATGGTGTAAACAAAGTGACTTTGTTTCATGTTCTTGGTGATTTTACATTGAGGATGTTACTGAGTTATATAATTCTTTTGTTGATGAGAAAATAACTGAATACCCATATGTTAATCAACGTGAATCACAAAAGAATAAGATAATAGTAGACCAATTTCTTATTATCTATGAACATTTAGATCGATAAAATAAACAAATGTTGGAGATGAAATGGGCTAAAAAAGAAAAAGAAAAAGTTCATAATGTTCTTGGTGAAGTTCATAATGTTCTTCATGGTTTTGAAGAAAATATGACTCCATATGTTCTTGTTGAAGGGGAGTCAAGTGGTTCATGTTTTTCAGAAGTTTTACAATCTGAATCTTTATGTTCTGATGATGTTTTTGAAGGAATGATTCCTTACAGAATGCCAATGCTTCAAGAAATTTAGATTTATCAAACCCCAAAAGTTTGTACGCCAAAGTCTTCTAATATTCAGATTCAGAATGGTGAAAAGGTTGTTCAGATCCACAATTTGTTTATGAAGCCTAGAAATAAGAAAAGGAAGAAGAAGAAGAACAAGAACAAGAGTATAATGAATAAGGTTTGGATGCCCAAGGTACAAGTACCTAAGCTTGTGAAAAAGTTGAGAAAGTTAAAGTCAAACATGTTCAAAGAAACCTTAATTCTCAATTTTCTTCAGATAAAATGTTAGAAGTTGGAAGGAAAAGAAAAGAGAATTTGGTTGGTTTAATGAAACTTATGGAAATTTTTGTTTTTCAACTAAAAGGCGGGTATTATTTTCAGAAAACGATATAATTTTCTTCAAATAAGTGGATATGCAAGAAACCAACTTCAATGTTGAACTTTAAATAGGTACAAAAAATCTCTTAAAAGATTTTGTCCTTTATTAAAAAGAAAAAAAAGGGGTCAAAATCTGGTGAAATCTTGTGAAGATTCAATCAAAGATATCAAATTGTGTTGAAGAAATCAAATTTATTGATTTTTTTAATTGTTGGAAATGACAAAAATTGAAAAAGGGGTGAAAAGCGAAATTTTCTGCAAAAAGAAAGCTGTTATGTGACATTTTTCAGCAAAAAGGGTACAAGCCGTCAGTTCACTGTAAATAGGGTGGTCAGATTCGACACTTTGAAGGAATAAAGTGTTACTTTCACATTTAAGACAAAAAGGGTTACTTTTGGAATGTTAGGCCAAAACCGATTCTTAGCTGATTCACTGGAGTCCAATTTCGTAACTTGATGTAAAACTCTTTTACAATTGGGCGTACAACATTCACCATCGGATGTTCATCTCCGACAATTCTGTTTCGCAAACCAAAATCATTCGTGCTTCAACTCTCTCTCTCTCTCGCAATCAAGGATCAAGTTTCGTATGTTAATTAAGATTCGCAATTAGAATGATTTGCAACTACAGCCTTTGGATTCGTATGCGAAAGTCAAAACGATGCAATTGTCAAATAAGCAAAAGTTAGATTCGTAGGTTTCTTATCTGTGAAGCCTACGTTCGCAATGAACTGTATTCTTCTCTGCTCTCGCAACAAAAGTAGAGGATGAGGTTGCCCTTTCGTATTTACAGTCCTCCATTCGCAGTGAATCTAAGATTCCCATTAGGTCCATGATCGACTGATTTTTTTTTTTTTTTTTTTTTTTTTTTTTTTTGGAAAAAGGGGAAACCCCTTGGCAAAATATGTTAAGAATAGGAAGAATACAAAAGAAAAGGGCAACCGCCCAAGAAAAAGAAAAAAACAAAAAAAAAAAGACTAGCCAAGCTATGGGACATGCCCCAAAGCATGGCAAACAAACAAACAAACAACTAGCAACTGACTAAATAAAGACCTAAAGCCGTCATCCCTGATCAATTGGAGAAGAGGTACAACCACCATGAGAAGAGCTCGGCAGTGCATTAGAAGCTGGGATAGTAGTACTCGAATGAATAACTTGAGGGACACGAGAATCATCATCAATATCATCCACTCTTTGATGGGAAAGAGCATCAAACATGTTAGTGGAGACTTTTTTCTTTGGCTCTACACGGGTTACTGGTTTATAGACTTGGGTGATCTTTATAGCATGACCTTTTCCTTTGCGGTTGTCGATGGGGATCTTCTTTTTTGGAATTGGAAAATTTCTAGATCTCCGCATGACTGTTTGGTATCCTTCATTATCAACGTCTTTTGGAGTGGGCGTAGCCGACTTTGGGTCGGGGGCGCTAATCGAGTGATCGGGGCATGTAGCATGGTCATGACCAAAAATTTTACAATAATCGCATCTCTTCGGGTTCCAAGAATACTCCACTCTAAGCGTTGTAGATGTGGCACCTTTAGCTGTGACCGCTTTGATTTTTATTTCCTTAGCCCAAGGATCTTTAGCCGACATCTCAATGAGGATGCGGGCAAAGACCGCTCTACCCGTAGCCCGCTCACACATGGTGGTGGTGTAGGAATCAACCTCCAACGGGTTCCCCAATTTGCTAGCAATAAGACTTAAGCCATCCTTATTAAAAAGTTGGAGGGGAATTCCAAAAATATTAACCCAAACAGGAACCCGGTCATACGTGGGTTTTTCGATAAAAACATCCGGGTCCCATTTTCTAAGGAAAAGTGGGATACCATTAATCTTCCAAATTCCTTTTTGTAGAACATAATTCATGCCATTTTCGTTGTCAAATTTAAAAAAGAACATGTCGTCAATAAAGATGTCACTAATTCCATGTTCTTTCCATAATTCTTGGAGACTGTCTTTAACAAGAGGAAATGCAAGCCTATTACCGATAAAATAACCATATAAAGTACGTTCAAAAGGAATGCTGCCATTAGTCATGATCTCCGGAGGAATTATCAAAAAATCATCATGCAAGGAATTAGAGATGTTGACAAAATCAAGTTTAAGTGGGGTAACAGAAGGCACCTCGTCATCAGAAAATTTAATTGGAGAATCCTTGCATGTTGGGTCATCAACAACGTGATCTGGGGATAGAGGCCCAGCAAGAGAAGTCTTGGACTTGCCCAAAACAATATCGGCAAAAGATAAAGGCTGATGAATAAAAGTTGGGCTGTTAGGCCCAAAGTGAAGGGAAGGTGGATCAGCGAGATTGGGCCGGCCAATAGGGGGAATCCAAAATCACGTGACCAGGAGAGGAAAGGGTGGGGTTGGGCCGGCCAAGGGGGAATCCAAAATCACGTGACCAGGAGAGGAAAGGGTGGGGTCTGGACTAATAAATGCTGAGTCTTTATCTTTGGGGGGTAATAAATGTGAGTGGAAGCCGTGTCCCCCAAAAAGGAGTTAAGATCGTGACCCACAGCCTTAGTCCCCAAGCAAGGCATCTTTTGACTTTCCATATTTCCCACAAGTGGCTGCTTGGAATACGTGTTGGGTATTGGAGAGTCCACGATTTCAGGGGCAATCAATGCCTTCCCACTGCTACAATTAATAGGCTTGAGAGACGTGCCTGTCGCATCCGATCCTACTTCACACCCAAATTATCATATAAAGAAGGAGTATCTTTAATGCACAGAGGTTGACTTTCCTTATTCAGGAGAATTTCCTTTCCCATGATGGAGCACGACAGGTTAGGAGTACGACCCTCAACAGGAAGCAAATCTTTTCCAAGGATGGATGAGACCACCGAAGACGGAGGTGACCGGAGGTTGAGGGGCGCAGTAAGGCAGCCAAACGCATCCACAGCGCCGTCAATAGGAGATCGTGGGGAGTTAACCTCGTCATCATGCTTTTCTGCCGTTAATATGGGCAGCGATGGTAGTTCAACAGAAGCGGAGCCGGACGGGGGGGTTGGCGACGACACAACCGGAGAGAGAAATCCGGTGGAAGGGAGGTCTCGAACCAAATCCTCATCATCAGAGTCAGAGCAATCCTCGACAATTCCATCTATTTTCTCGATTTTTTTGGAAGCTCCGTCCTTTGCATGGGGAACATCTTCAGATTCGACGGCTTCTTGGGAATCATTAAAGGAGTCTGCGAAAGGATTTATAGGAACCGATTCTTCACCAAACACGTTACCAGGACCTTCTACTTCCTCATTATCATGCGAGTAACAATCAATTTTTTCTACGGAAGGTTCACAGGAGGCTTCATGTGACACATGAACAGGTGAGTTGGAGAAGAAGATACCTTTGTTACTGTGATTGCTAATACAAAAAGCAGTGGAAGATGATGAACTTTCAACAAACTCAGATTCTCCATGAATATTACGTGACCCAGCAACCACTTCATCCTTTTGGGGACTATCTTCAAAATGGAAAGAACCAAGAATAGCAGCCTCTGCATCATGATACTTTGATTTTTTCCTTGAAGATCGATGAACCCTATGAATCTTCCCCATAATATTACAATCACTTAACTAATTAACAAAAAAATACCAACAGATTAAAAGAAATTAAGCATGAAACCCAGAAGATGAACAAGAACACTTAATCTCCAAAGGAGTTTCCTAGAGAGAAAAATTCTAGAGAGAGAAAGTACTCCATGGGTTATGGGTTTAGGGTTTTGATCGACTGATTCGGAGCGAGAGGTCAAGGATTTGGGGCTGCCTTGATTCATAGGAATTGAAGCGAACCTCTCACAGTCGATGTCTCTACACTCAGAACGAATATGGAGTCACATTCACAGTCGACCTTAAAGGATTCAGAATCGAAAGTCACAGAAGCAAAAAATAGGAGCTGAAATTGGAATCGGAGTTTCAAGTCTAAAAGCTTTCAGAATCGGTATTGGAAAAACTGCAATCGGGATTAGAAGAAGCTTTGATCGAATTTTTTGTTGGAATCAAAATTGTCGTTATCAGACTTGGAATCGTTTTTACTAACCAAAATTGGACCTTCAAAATCATGGTTTCTGAATCTACAATCGATTCCGACTTGGATTCTAAACGGCAATCGGAAATATCATTATCAAATTCGCAATTGGAGATGACATGATTGGAGGAGTTAGTTTGCTATTTGCTTGAAATATCAACGATATTGGAACAAAATATGCTCTCATTCTTTAATTTTGACTTTTATAAGTCAAAGGCGTTCTTTACCCGTTCGGCCGTTCCAGTGAAGAAGATGCCTCGATCTTCATTTCCAGTCCTCAATTGTTCACCATTTGACAGTTTCTACCTCATCTCTTAATGTTCTTTACAAATTAAATGGATTTTTACCATTTTAACCCCTTCTCTCCAAAATATTTTCACTTATTATTCTTTTCTTTGGTCTTAGGTCCCGTTTGATAGTTTCCGTCTGGGAAAGTGCTATCTGGTAAGGTGCTGTTTGGGAAAGTTTTATGATTGGAAAAGAAACCATGCTGTTTGATTATACATCTGACTCACTGTACTGAATGATGAAAAAAAAAATAATTCAATAAAAAAATAAATTAAAAAAAGTTATTTAAAAAAAATTAATAATCCAATAAAGAAAGAAAGAGGCGTGGTTTGGTGTAAAATTGTCTTTCCAGCCCATTCAGCCAGAAAGATATGATTTTGGGGCTTTCTGGGAAAGACATATCTTATCGGGAAAGATCCCTTCTTTTGTGCAAATCAAACAATCTTTCCGATCCATTCAGCCAAAAAGATTTGTTTGGATCTGGAAAGATGCGTATCAAATGGGGCCTTACTCTTTTTAAACCCTTCTAAATTTATGCTTCTTATTTTATTCTTTTGTCTAACTTTAAAAATCGAAAAATGCAAAATTAAATTTTTTTATTTTTTCGGTTTTAATTTTTGAGAATTGAGTATTTTCTAAAGGGATTTGTTTCATCAAATCTGACGGGTTTTGAAGATTGTTGGGGATTCTTCTTAACTTTCCGGATTCTCTCCATAGTATTTGTTGAAGATTCAAGGGGGAGTGATGATTATTCAGGGGGGGGGGGTTGTATTTGGAAGATTATTTTTATTTCTCTCGCTTTGAAGACCCCATGTTTTAATTAGTCTGACCATTTAGGGGGAGAAATGCCAAGAAGATTGGAAATCATCATCTTCATCAGTTTCAACATCTAGGGGGAGATTGTTGAGTATTTGAGATATTGAAGCTGATTTGGCATATTTGGTTATTTAGGACAACCTTTTTAGGATTAATAATTTTATGATTCCATATGGTGTCTTTACAGTAGAAGTTCTTAATCGAGCTCTTCTAAGGCATTTGTTTTATATTAAGGCATAGATTTTATATTTATGGTATATATTTATTGTTCACTATAAATAATCAATAGGTTAGATTTTGAAAAACTATTTTTGCTATATTAGGGTTTCCTTTCTACGTTCATATCATAATCAATATACACAAAAACCATTATCAGATTACTTGCATATGATGGTTATTGATTCTTGATTGTTCTTGATATTCCGCATTCGTCATCTCATATTTATTCCTAACAGTAAGGCGACTGTAGATGACGTGCCAATTGTATGGGAGTATGCATATATGTTTTTAGAGGATTTTCCTAGAGTGCCTCTGAAGAGGCAAGTGGAGTTTCGGATCGACTTGATTCCCAGTGCGGCTCTGATTGCCTCTAGTGCTAAAACTCTTATAGATCTTGACGTAGAACTTGAGGTTGACTTGCCTTTTGCACTTTGAATCTCCCCTATTTGGTTTTGGACTTTCGCCTCCTTGTTACATACAACCAATCAAAGAATATGATGGCTTAGTCTCTTTGATTGACGGTTTTCTTTCTGCTTGAATGAAACTCCTGATTGTCATGATGATTGTAATACCTTCAAGGTAGTATTACTTCGAGTGATCTTATCGTAAGACGCAACATAGTTTGATCATGATTATGGCAAGCATTTAGATTGCTCTACCAACATATATGTGTACCAGATGGCAGATGTGGGTTGCAATATTAGCAGCAACGATGGTTGTTGAACTCAATATTTTCTCTTTCTTCTTTCTAAAACGATTAACCTTATCATACTCTTCTTGATCATAATTAAGATAACTTCTTATTGACGTATAGCTATTGTCTTTATTTGTATCCTTTCTACAATATTCATAACCTTTGCGACTTACCCAATGAGTATCAAACTCTTGGATTTTTTTGGCAGTGCTTATCTCGCACTCGTATCTTAATTCTCTATTGGACTTTCAGTCCAGACCTTCGAGTCATAAATTCGATCTTTATTGGAGGCTCTTGCTCTTTCTCGAATTTTTTTGCTAAAGACTCAGCCTAAGATGAGGTCTTTACTCCAGCTACAATAACAGACCGAATGGTTACAATAATAACCTTCTATTGCACGTTGAAATGGACTCTTGTCTATAAAATTATTACTGTTGAGGATACCTTACTTCATGTTCTAATGGAGTACAACCACATTATAGAAAGTAACACTTCTAGCTACTGGTTGCTTGCTTTGAGACCTGCAATCTTTTTGTCGATTTCCTTTTTCTCCTTTTCCGTTGTGTCGACTAAGGTCGATAACTATACTATACATGGTTTTCAGAACCAATCGACTTACTTCGTAGATTTATGCTATTTGGCCTTGGTTCTTTATGACCATTATGGTCTGAATGAAAATTGTCTCCTTAGTCATTACTAAAAGAATGGTAATGATAGAAATTAACAAATGTGACTCAGATACTAGTTTCTTGGTAACCTTGTTACTTATATTGATCTAAGTGTGAGTCCTATGCTTCTGGTAGTATAGGCCTCTACTAAATTTCACACCTACTCATACTCATCCCATGAATTGTCTCACAGTTCACCAAGTCACCATACAAGAACAAAATCAGTTAGCAATTTAACGTATTGACAAGCATAACATACTTATAGATTTTATATCTTCTGAAATGATTACAATCATATTCAAAGTTTATTATACTCTATGCCTCATATACCAGGCTACATACTATAATATTATCTAAGTGGTACAACAAATCTATGTCTCTAACTTTCTGGACAAGCAACTTCCTTTTATTGACTTCCTGAAGCGATGTCTGCTTCTTCCATTACAATCTTGAGAGTCATCCATAATGCTTGTGAGGTATCTTCCTTTCTCAGGAAATCTTGTGAAATGTGCCCATTACCTCCACATGCGTAACATATCTTATTGTTGAACATACAATTGTGGGAATAATGACCAGTTCTTCCACATTTGTAGCAGGTTACTTTTTCCTTGCATTGTTTGAAATGTTTCTTCCTGCATTCTTTACACCATTTCAATTTATTACTTTCCCCAGGCTTCTTGCTGTTAGGGCTAGGTTTTACTAACCTATTCTTTATATTAGATTTCGAGGATTCTTCATTATTCCTCTTTCTTCCAACTTTTTCATTGTCAGTGGTTATCCCCTTGGCTATAGCTTACAAGGATATGGCAACTTGGATGGCTATTTCTAAGGTAGTTGCTATTTTTACCATTTGACCTAAATCTGCCGATAGTCTATTAGCAAATCTCTCTACCTTGGATTGTTCTGTAGTATTTAGGTAAGGAACTAGATCCATCTTTTCAAGAAAGGTTGTAGCGTACTGGCTGATGCTCATATCTCCTTTCATCAAGTTCTGGAATTCGTTACTTATTTGCAAAAGGTATCACTACAAATAGTATTCTCTTTTCAAATGCACAAGGAAGTCTTCCCATGACATTCTTCCAGCCTCTCCTTTTGGCATGGTGTAGCTATTCATTTCCACTAGCTTAACACTATGGTCTTCAGCTGTCTGGATATGAAGATTGTTTTCTGTTTGCTGTTACAGTCACAACTTTCAAATGTCATTTCCATGTCATAGATCCATTCCATAATTATCATCGACGTCGATTCTCCAGAAAGACTTGGGGATCGAGATGCTATGAATTCCTTATAACTACATCCATTTATGTTAACCCCTTCTTCATATTGATCTCCATTTATCACAGGTTCTATAACTGATGCAATGACTTCTCTTCTATCTCCTTGAAGCATTTGTCTCGTTCCTTCTACTAGTATTGTCTGTATCACAGCTTGAACTCCTGCCATCGTGACGGGTTTAACTATTCCCATGACTTCAGGTGCACGCTCGATCACCCAAGGCTCAGTATGTTGGTTTCCATTATCATTCTCCAATCCGCTATGTGCTCTCACCATGACGTACTATACACCCAAGCATGTGTTTAGTGTACCGAAAGGCGATTTTATTATGATAGGGAAGATTTTATTTATGATTTAGATGCATAAGTCCTACTTTTTACTCTGAAACGTCACATATAGTTCTAATACATTAATGATACATTTAAAATCGTGAACACATAGTTTTTCCTTGTTCTAGGTCGGCAACAAACCTTATCTTTTTCTAGGTAAGTTCCTAAGTCATGCTCTGTTACAATTAGCATATAAGGCATCTCTTCCTAAGGTATGCTACGACATATTATAGAAAGTAATA